TGTTGACATTATCTCCTATGTTGAAGAAATCTGTGTAGCGATTTGATAGATGGATTTAAAATCAATGGTTTTGATGGATCCATCTAGAAAAGTGTCAATCAATGTGTGAAGGAGAGTGAAAATATAACATGGTTGAAGTTAAATGGCATCATCAATAACCATTGTATAGCCAAGTTTGAGGCAGAACTAGGTACATCGAAGGTTGTTTCCCAAGCGTGTGCCTTGAGACACGCGTACATGTTAAATGTTGATTCATCCCAATTGTCATGCTCCCACACTTGGTAGGATGTGCGCCTTTACATCATATTCTAAGATGTATGCCATGACAATATTATTATAATTGAAGCATATATTATATTGAACCAAAATTCAATATCTTGAAAATTTTACTATTTGGCACGATCGGTTTGACTATATCGGATCAATAATAATGTAAAAAATTTGAAAACGTCTATTGAAAAATCCAAAAAAAATTTCAATACAACAAATTCCACAATTTACTTATTCTCATGATATATAAATCAATAAAGTTCCATTAGTTAAAATCGGGACAAGATTCTCTTTGTGTTTTTGGAAATTAATTATGGTAATATGAGGGGCTCGTCACCTTTCATGTTGACAATATAGATATTATTTATATCTTATAAATACATCCACCGGTGATTACAGGTAGGGATAGCAATCGGGCTCGCTAGCTCGGACCGCTCGTGACTTGACTCAGAAAAAGCTCGAGCCCGCCCTGCTCGAGGCTCGGGCCGAGCCCCTTTTTAGGTGTCGAGTAAAGCTCGAGCTGGCTCATGTGGCTCGCCGGCTCGGAGCATATGTTTTTTTTTTTTAAAAATTAAAAAAATAAAATAAAAGGTAGCACGCTGCTGCCATTTTATTTAATTAAAAAAAATTCCAAAACCAAACAAAACCCGAGCCGACCCGGCTCGGCTCGGAAATGCCCGAGCCAAAAGCTCGGGTCGAGCCTAATTTTCTNGAGGTTAAGAAGTTGGAAATGATAACATAATACCTCATTCTAGTATATAGATCCTCACACAAGAAACCTAAAGTTTAAAAGATAATTTATTTAAATGCATTTACTAATAAAAATATGGATGAGATCTTGTACAACAATTTCAATTGCTCAACTCACACATGCATCCTGAAAAGACAATTTATTAACATTATATTTGATAAATCTATGAAATATTTGAATCGTGATGACATTTGATTTCAGACAGAAATCTCAAAAATAAAATTGGAGTCAATAATAAAGATGGTTATATTAGGAGGCACTTTTGAAGAATATATAGACATAACAAACTGTAAAATTCCAAGAGATGCTCAAACATTTTAAAAATTGAAAATTGAGATTCCGAATAATATAGGGAGAATCAAAAAGAAAAAGTTGTTGACAATAATTTTGTATATAATGTAAAACTTCATATTATCTATTATAACAATTATAATGAAGAAAATATATCGAAGAATACAAATGAAGAATTAATTAGCTAAATAAAAGGTGTAATCCAAGTAAAAGTGAACTAATTAGAGAAACCTACAATTCGAACACCTAAAGTTAGGTATTTATGCTAAAAGAAAATAGGAAAATTAACGTAATGAATTTCTCAATGACTTATATAAATAGATATATTATCAGGTATTGAATATAATAACAAGTTTATATCTTGCTAGCTAAACAACATATAAAAATCGAAGTGCGTCTAATAAATGTGTCTACAACCATATTATCAGCATGCCTATTAATTCTATTTACATAAATTCTTGAATAAATAATTATGCCTGAAACATATATTTCTAGTGATATTATTATAAATGAATTAAACACGTGTTGTATTTTTTTTTTATGACAAATATTTTGTCCCAATGTGATACCCTACGAGGTTTTTAATGGGAAAATTTTGTGGCGCGTTAAAGTGAACAATGTAATCTTTTTTTCTTCGTTAGAATTTTTTCTAATAAAATTTTAACAGTTCGTATTCTTTCTATAATGAATGCCCATAACGTCAACGATATATAACCTTAATATAATTATATAATTTTACTCTTATATTTTATAAATTGTGTACGAGACATTCAAAGAAAGCCAATAAAATTAGTTTTTTTTTTCAACAAACCATCATGCTAACTAAAATCAAACAAGGATAGATGAATATATTTATGAAGACAATGCAATTTTTATTATACAACTCAAAGGAGACTATATTAAAGAGAAGATGACAAAAGCATAATTCTATAAAATTATTTTATACACACGAGCTTTAGAGGACTGATAACAATGATGCTAAACAAATTTGCTCAAAAAATAATAATATAGTTGACTTATTCAAAAAAAGATTGTTGAATCCATATTTAAGAAATTGGTACACGAAATAAAAATGCGTCTACTCAAAGATTGCTATTGATCAACATTAAAGGGAGTAGTTTTTCTCTTTTCCCTTCACTCACGTTTTATACTATTGGGTTTTAATGAGGCATCATTTGTTTAATACTTCAAAAATGAATATACTTCATTTTTCCTTTCGTTTCATATTATGGTCCTACTGAATTTTTATCATTTTTTTTAAAAACTAAATAGATCATGTGTGGTTATTTAGAGCATCTCCAACTCTTCACTAAATTTCGTACATTTTGGTGTAACATTTCTAATGATTACTCTATATTTCCTCATTATTTATTTCTCAACTATCAATTTGTTTTAAATTATTTAATTACAAATTATTTTATTACTGAAATCGTTAAATTCAAAATTACATTGAATGAACTAAAGTATTGCATTTACTAATAAATTATTATTTTAATTTAATGTTGTATTGTAATTTAATTTATATTTTTAAGATATTTATGTTGTTCTAGAGATAATTTATTCTTTATTTCTGTTTATCAAATTTATAACTGAGTTTTTAATGAACAACTTTAATTATTGTATCAATACTTATTACTTAATACTTGATTAAAATTTAAAAATAAATTTTAAATAAAAATAACCATCTCGTTAAAATAATTATAAATAAAATAAAATCAATCAATTCTAAAAGAATTTGGAAAAAAAGGATATAGAATGAACAAAAATTTGTTGTAATAGAAAATGGAGGACAAAATGGAAATAATGAATCACATAAAATTTGATGCAAATGAAATGAATAGTGTTACACCAATTTTGGTATGCCATTGAAGGGGTGTTTTACACTGAGAACCATTGGAGATGATCTTGGGCATGAAAAAAATACATAAATAGAGGGAGGAAATTTGATTATGATTTGACTATCCTCCATCTTTCACAAAGAAAATAATCAAATATTGGGTAGGGAATGGATGAATGAGTGGCTGGGTGGCATTTTATTTATTTTTTGTTTTGACGATACACAAAGAAAGAGTGAGAATTAGAGAAAGGTTCCATGGAACATCAACATAAACAAGGACATGGACATGGATGCCCCAACTAGCATGACACAGTGATAAAGTAGGATGGTCTTATACGGAGCATATGATACTCAAATCCTCACAGCAACTAGAAGGTAATATTTATGTTGGAATGCAAATGTCCCGTGGAGACAAAATTATGATGCATTTTGTCATCTCTCAGAGGATTATTTCTATATTTTGTAAATGGAAGTCCACAAGAAGGAGATTTGGATCTCGAATGTCTAGCCAAGTATATATAAACTGTGATCACATTTGAATTTATCCAGGTGGCGAATTAGGGGGGAAGGCCGCCACTTCTCAAGATTAGTTCGGCGAAGCCTGAATTCCAGTTCCAATGATTAATATTCTTCGATTCATGCATATAACTCCAAGGATTTCAATACATACATGCATATGTTTTGAAATGAGAGTTCAACAATTTTATTAATTGGGGACAAAAGAAGAATTATTGAAAGTTAGGACATTATCATCAGTAAAATGATTTCAAAGTCATGCCCCTTCTAGTATATTTAAGATTTAAGATTAAAAGATTAAAGATAATAATTAAAATTAATATTAAATTACTCTTTATAAGAGCAACCTTTATCTTGTAACACGCGCACATGGATCAAGATCTATCTTATTTAGGAATGAATAATCCATTCATAAATAGAAAAAAAAGAAAATACTATAAAACTTTTAAGGGAGTATAATTATTAAACACAACTAAAATTAATTCATTATTTAAAAACCAATCCATTGTAAAGTAATCAAATTGGTTGACTAAGATTTAGAAGTTTATTTAAACTCAAAATAAATTTCGAATACTGTGAATAATTTTTTTTTTTATTCGTGTTGCTCGAAATCATTCATTTAATTACGACTAATATTTGCAAATATTTTTTATTATAAAGTCTTAACACTTTGTGAAATCATGCACAATATACATGTTATGGAAAATCAATTAATAGTACGAATGTAGTCGATCTAGGATTTATTGACAAATATATTAGCAGATTTCTAATTATAAAATGAAATAAATTTATTTATTATAGAACAAGAAAAAAAAGAGTTATTATAGAAAAGATTTTCATTATTTTCCTTATAAATAGTTAAGATCTAAAATCATTATCGCACTTTATTTAATATAGAAACAAATGAATTTATGCTGTTATAATGTACAGATTTCAATAGGAAATGTACATTATCCTCTCTTTTCCTATTTTTCTTCTGTAGATAGAGAAATGTAAATGTTTTAGACAGAGAAAACTAAAGAGTGGTAACTGTGATTTTTTTAAAAATATATCATAAGAAAATAGGAAAAAAATTATAAATTTTTAAAATTATTTTATTAAAAAAATATTATTAAAAATAATACTGATAAAAATCAAACCAAGACTAAGCCTTTGTTTGATCTCCAATTCTTCAAAGCTCAATTTTTTTTAAACCTCATTTTTAACCACATATTCATGCAATAAAATATTTTATACGTAAATTCAATTTATTTATTTATTTTTCCACTTTTCACTAACACAATTCTTCAAAAAAAATTCCTATTCCAAAACCTGTTAATGCCAACTAACGGGCTTAAATGGCTTCTCTGCAAATCCATTCACGGATGTCAAGGAATTCTTGTTTTTTCTTATTTTAGTTTTCACAAATTTTCCCTCTTTTGGCCTCTGGATTTTCCATTAATTGCAATTATTTCTTTCCTATAAATTTAATGGTCACTTCTCTTCTCTGCTTCCTTCCTAGAGAGAGCCACCGAAAACGAATTTTGGTTTCTTGGCCCCTCAGTCTCATAAAATTAAACGAAACCCATGTGAGCAATTCTTTTATGTCCTTTAAAATTTTCATCTTTCCTTTTTCTTCTTCTTGTGCAGGAATGTCAATGTTGCTGATATTTGTAAATTGTAAACACTCTTTTGTTTATTCATTACTCGAATTGTAATCAATTTGTTCTGTACGGCACAATGTCGTCATCTTGATCGTTGGGTTTTCGTTTTTCTGGGCTAATATTCTCTTGGATTTTGCTAATTTTTTGTTGGAAAGGTGTGGTTCGTTTTTCATCTTATATTTTATAATATGCAGGCAGAACAGTTACGTTCTATGGTGGGGAGTTTTACTATATGTGATACCAGGTTCAATGGGTGTGGATTGGATTTATGTTGTATCTATTGCCTTTTGTATGTTATTATCAGTAGTATTTGTTTCATGTTCTTGCTGGAGCATTGCTTATTTTTGTCTTATTTGTTGTTGGTTTAGTTATTTGTTAAAAGCTTACTTCTGTTTTCATTGTTGTGAAAGGTTTTATATTGGAACGCACTGAGCACATTTCGTGGTTCCGGCTTGGGAAGTTGATTTCTTGAGGTGGGGTTCAGGTTTTTATGGGTTGAACTCAAGAAATCATGGGTAGCTTCAGTGACAACGATGAAGAATCTCAATTCTTTGATGCCTCAGAGCACATTGCAGCAGAATCCAAACCGAGTTATGGGTTCCCTAGGAGTAATACTTGTGAATATGATGTATGGATGAGGAGTCCTCAAAGCATTACAGAGCGACGTAGGAAATTCATTAGATGGATGGGATTGAGCCCGGATAAGTTAAGACACAATTTACATAACGTATCCGACGATTCTGAAAACCACCACGCCTTCAAAGGAGATGTCGGGAGAATTATGGAGAATTGTGGGGCTGTACTTAGAACCTCAGTTCCTGAGGATAAATTTTCTTTAAGCCAATCTTCTGCATCAAGTTGGTCCAGTGATGCTTTTGATTTGTCGAGTGGGTTTGTTTCAAGTGAAGAATTTGTATGTAGAGCTGGGTATCCAGATGGTGCAAGTGGAAGTAATGTAGATGATATTGGAGAGGATGGCAAGCTAAGTAATCTTCAAGATGGTGAGTTAAGCCAATTTCTGACGGCAACGGAGTTTGTGAATGCTTCTCAATCGTCTCCCTTGCTACAGCAAATTAATGAAAATACTTCGAGAATAATGAATAAAATGAAAGATAAATGGTTGAGTAGATTGCATTCCATGAGGCGCTTAATGAGTATGGGTCAGAAAGATAATATTCTTCCATCCAATAATTCCAGCAAACTTCAGAGCTCTAGAGTTCAAAGAGTCAGGGTTCACCATTGTCAGAAGAGGTTAAAGGAACTTTCAGCTCTTTTTACAGGACAAGATATTCAGGCCCATGAGGGGTCCATATTAACAATGAAATTCAGTCTTGATGGGCAATATCTAGCTAGTGCTGGTGAAGATAAATTTGTGCGCATTTGGCAAGTGGTGGAAGATGAGAGGTCAGATAATATTGACATTCCTGATGCAGATCCATCTTGCATATATTTTTCAGTTAATCGTCTTTCTGAATTGGCACCTCTCATGGGAGAGAAAGATGAAGCTAACAAATTCAAGAATCTTGGAAAAACATCAGACTCTGCGTGTATCATATTTCCTCCAAAGGTATTCCGAATTTTGGAGAAGCCCTTGCAAGTGTTCCAAGGGCATGATGGAGAGATCTTGGATCTTTCATGGTCAACAAATAATGTAAGTTAACAATCTGCAAATTTATTATAATTTTTAAATTGGTCAGATTGGATTATGTTTTTTTAACTTTTTTTCTGCAGTGTCTGCTTTCATCATCAGTTGATAAAACTGTTCGTTTGTGGCGAGTTGGAGTTGATCGGTGCCTCAAGGTCTTCGTGCATAGTGATTATGGTACGTACCTGGCTGCATGATCTTTGTTTTAGAACCTTGGAAAATAGACTTATTTGGAGAAAACATCAAACATGAAACTGAAGTTTTTTCGGAATTACTGATTTCTTTGGCTAAAAAATCATGTGATACAATGCAGTGACTTGCATTCAATTTAACCCTGTGAATGATGATTACTTCATCAGTGGTTCAATAGATGGAAAGGTTCGCATTTGGACGATCAATGGTTGTCAAGTCGTTGACTGGGCTCAAATAAAGGATATAATCACTGCAGTATCTTATCGTCCAAATGGGCAGGTTTATTGATGCTGCTATTTTAATTGTTTTAAACAGAATGTGGCTTCAAAGATTTATCGGTCATACTAATTAGCAATGTTTGGCCTGTGATATAGGGAGGTATTATTGGCTTAATTACAGGTACCTGTCGCTTTTTTAATATATCAGGTACTTACATGGAATTCCTGCTTGATTCTCTGCTAGTCCTTTACTTCGAAATGCTGAACTCCGAAGTTTATACATTTTCAGTGTATTATTTTAAACAATGTTTTAAAAATTGACCCGGCCATCGACCCGGAAAAGGGGAAGGGTCAAGGAACCGGGGTCGAACCGGGATCCACCCCTTTTTTTATTAATAATTTTACAAAAAAACAGCAAATGAAAACAAGTTTTTCGAAATCACAAAAACTATAACAAGCATTCATGCACAAAATTAATAAAAATAATTAAATACAATGGTCAAGAGTCTTCAAAAGATGACGACATTCACAGAGTCGGCACTCAGCATGGAAGAATGAGGAGAAGTTTGAAAGTCTGAAAATATTAAAAAACAAGGGTTTTAATTGTTTTAAAATTCATTAATTTTGAACCGGAAAAACTGGATGCAGGTCAAAGGTTTTTTAAAATCCGGGCGGGTCACTGGTTTTAAAGGCGGTTTTTAAATCTAAGGTTCTCAAGGCCTAGCCAACCCGGTTGTGGTCCCGGTTCCCGTTTTATCTGGTTGAACCGGCTGGGCCAGGTCGGTTTTTACAACATTGATTTTAAATGCCTTAAGGGGACTGGTGCAATCTAATATTGACTTCCAATTCGACTTTCTTGAATCTGAATAACTTCCTCTTCATCTCCATTCTTCTGTTGAACTGCACTCTTTCTACTCTCTTTATGTTTGTACCCTGGCAAGCATTGAAGTGTTTGCATTTGCGTTCACAAAAGTCAGCTGCATGTGTGCAGTGTTGCATGATGTTTAAGTATAAGTACAATGAGAAATGCAGCAAATTAATTTCCAAGTCTTGTTTGGGAGACGTCATATAAATTAGCCCCAAAATTGAAATTTATCCATGGGGACTAGTATCGGTTAATGGCCCTGTATCTTGTATCAGATGATCATATTCAATTGGGAGCTCAGATGTGCTTAACGAATAAGAAATCATCCTGCAAACGGATAACTGGCTTCCAGGTTAAACTTTTTTTTTTTTTTTTTTTTTCCCTTCTGGCTTTGTTACCTTGTCGCTTAAATGCTATTGGAAAGTTTGTCCTGATCTTGATATTCTGTGAATGCAGTTTTCTCCACAAGACCCCAGCAAAGTATTGGTTGCATGTACTGATTCACAAGTCAGAATCCTTGATGGGACGAATGTGATTGGGAAATATAGAGGTATTTGCTTATTTCTTCTTGGTTTTGTTTTCTGTGATGATGTCATGTCATTCTTTAAAGGAATATAACTTATCCTGTTATTGAATTATATTGATTTTATTTCTGACTCTAGGATTACGAAATTCGGGAAACCAAATTTCTGCTTTATTCACTTCAGATGGAAAACATATTGTATCGGCATTTGAGGATTCTAATGTTTACGTGTGGAACTACATTGATAAAGTAGTGTCTTCTGCTTCGCATCCAAAAGCCATTAGATCGTTTGAGTATTTCTCTTCTGATGCGTCTGTTGCAATACCTTGGTCCGGCATGAGTATTGAGAATCCAGAGAACAGGTTCATATCAAGCCTTGACAAAAATTCAATTAATTCATTGCCTTTCTCAGCGTCCACTCGATTCTTTTTGAGCCAAGAGTTTTTACTGGAGTCGAACCCCAGGGGATCTGCAACTTGGCCAGAGGAAAAGCTTCCCGTGTCTAGTCCTCGAGTCCTGACATCTCCACTGTGTAGATCTCAATACAAGCTCTTCAAGAACTCTTATCAGAGTTCATCAAGTTCGCATTTGTGGGGTCTAGTTATTGTTACTGCAGGCTGGGACGGACGAATCAGAACATTCCACAATTATGGATTACCAATACCCCTTTGAGACAAGGCTACATGGTATGTGGTGCAAGTCCATTGCATGCTAAGCTGGTACAGAAAGCTAGTTTTGGCTGTACTGAGGCCTGTTTGCTTCCATGAATGGCATCCTGAGGATAGTGATCCAGTGGGTCCCTTCAAAAATTCTGCACATAACTAACGGTCTGGATAGGCGATGACTGTAATAAATGTACAATTTGGTTACTGAGTCTTAATTTATGATACTTTGATTTGTTGATTTGTGAAGCTACTGGCCCAGAAACGGAAATGAGTCATGTGCAAGAAGATATCGTATTGATTACTATATCTGCCTGATGGAAAAGGCCGTGGGACCTTTGTACAACTTCTTCCATTTGTTGTTAATGGTGGGACTGATCAAAACAGGATCAGTGGTCGAAATTCGCTGCAAGAAAATGGTGGGGAACGCCATTTTTATGGTGTGTTTGCTTGTCTGCCATTTGGTTCCAGATCAACTTTGCTAGCCATGGCTCGATAGGTCTTCTTCTGGGAGCCTGAAATGTTTCGTAGTAGTTAGAAGGATTAAACTGTAGTGGATAGGAAAGTTAACTAGACATGAGCTGTACTTTTTTGAGCTCTATGAAGAATTCGCTAGTTTTCGGGGTTGATGAGTTGATCCTTTGATCAGACAATTAATTAAGGGTGCTATTATTTATTCATAGTCATTGATTCAAAAAAAAGGAAAAAAAAAAAAAAAAAAAAAAAAAAAAAAAAAAAAAAGAGGGAATGCACATTTGCTTGAAACAGTTCCCAAATAACTATTTTACGTTGATCTTGTTCTTCAAAAATTCCTAGTCTTGGTTTTGATTTTTCGAGATGCATCAGATTTTTTCAATTTATTTCGTATAATAATATAATCAGTAGTGGCTCATAGTAGTTATCTTGTAACATGAGACATTAATTTTCTATAATTCTGTTGCCTCAAATAACAAGTTAATTCTTCAAATTACAAGTTACATGTGATGATTGCTGTAATAGTTGATTATTAATGGTATTACTCATTAACTAACGTACACAATATGTTGATATTGGTATGTTAATTAAAGTACATGCTTTTGAGTTGCTTTCAAATTTGGTCACTAATTTGTCAAGTTTAACTAATGTAAAATGTTGACTTGAATGTCGACTGATAGATGATTGATTTGTATGTTCACATCACAACAAAGTAAAACTCATAAAAAGACAAATTTCTTAAAGAAGGGGAAAAAACATTTGAACTAGAACCATGTTTTAACACTTTAATTGTACAATATGTTGAATGGACATGTTGCATCGACTTGGAAAATGGAAAGGATTCCATTTTGAGAGAGTTGAAAAAGTACCACCTCTTTTATACATGTGTCCTTTCTCAAATATATTCCGTGCGTTAATAAAGTATTATATTTGCAAGCAAATCGAAGTTTGGTGATTTGCTTGCATCTGATTGTAATTGAGTGACTAAATTTTATTTTATTTTACATAAAATAAAATGGAAACTGTATAATCTAATTAAAACAAAAATTCAATTTCTTTTTTTTCAAAAATCATTTTTACCACACATTCTTATATAAAATAATTTTATACATAAATTCAAAATATTTTCTTATTTTTTAACCACACATTCTCTAAAAAATCATTATGCTAAAAGACGTTCCCCACAATATGGATCTCAAACAAGGGCTAAAGAAAAATAATCTGGATACAGCTACACTCAAAATTGACTCACATTGCATTTTGCCCTTTTTTTTATAGACTAGTCAGAGTTGATCGTGCATTGTACGTTTATTTTGAAATACTTTATAAATGTTATAAAAGTAATATTTGATATCAATTTGTTGGGAAGATTTGATTAGTCTCAAACAAATTAAAAAAAATAAAATTTAGGATAGAAATCTAACAGAAGAAAATTATACTTTTAAAATCAATTTCTATGATTCAAATTTTTTGTGATGATGAAATAATACAAATTAGCAATCTTTTTATCAATCATGAATTACAGAAAAATTTAACAAAAACTTTTTGACAGGCAACACATGGCAAAAATTGATTGGAATGTAGAAAAAGAAAAAAAAATAAAAAAATTCAATCGTCTGTGACCACATCAATATCGATAGAAATTCTGTCAAGAATTTCTTGTACTCATGGCTTTATCCTCTTTTTATACTATAGTTTGTACATAGAAATTAATTGCTAATAAAGGATTTTAAATATCCATTAAATAAACTCATCTATAATAATTCTGACTCATGTAAATCAAGATTCATCAAGTGAATATTTATTGAATCTAGAATTACTTGAGAATTAATAACACGAAATTCATATATGACAATGATTTTGTAGTATTTATTACATATTGAAAAACGAAAAGTAAGATATTAAATAATTGAATTGTAGTAAGGCTACAATCGTCCAAAAAAAAAAAAAGATTCTTTCTTGACAATATATTATAGATTCTTATTTCCAATTGTTTGGAACACATTTTTCTAAAATTAATTTTATAAAGAAATCATTTTCAACCACATTATGTACAACTTACTATTTTTTCCACTTTTTAACCACGCATACTTCAAAAATATCTTGAAAAATATGTGCCAAAAACTTTTCGTCTATATTTCTTTAGTACATAAAGGAGCTAAAAAGAATATAGACTTTAGACACTTGATGCCAACTTCCTTTACGGTTATGTTACTTTAATTTGCTAAACTTAATGTGCTATTGTGAAAAAGCAAAATAAATTTTGACAAATGCAACTAAATATATAATAAAATAAATTTGAGAAAATGCTACTAAATCAAAGGTTATAAAATATTTGATTAAGTATTAGTTAACTTTAATAACTTTTTCTATAACATACTTGATTAATTAACTATTGTAAATCTTTATAGGAATAAAACGAGTTTTTCATTTCCTAACATTTTAAAAATATTAATGACATTTATTTTAACTAAAACTAACGATCTCATACAATCAAAAGCATGTCTTAACATATAAGAATAAAAATAAATATTTAAATATAGTGAAATAAAAAATTTAAATAATACAAATAAAGGGATATGGAATGCATATTTATTTTTGCTGCCAGCAAAAAATAATGGTCAAGTTGGCCGATTAACTAAGCTCCTGTTTAGCTTTACAAAAAATCAATTTTTTTTTAGTAAATTTTAAATTAATGAAATATATAATTAAAAATTAATAAAACTTGGGAATCCAAAAAAGTACATAATACAAAAAGAGTTTGAGAAAAAAAAATTTTAAAAATAAGGGCCAAATGACTGCCAAAAAGAATTTTTTAACCGAATCAAGTCAAAGTGCTTGCTAGGTCATGTTTGTAAGTGCTTATAAATCACGAACCATGTGAAATGTACCAACAATATGTTGGATAACATGATATAAATCCTACAAAATGTACATATAAGTATATTTGACAAGCTTAAAATAATTTAAACTTTGCCAAACTTGCACTAATTTGGCCTTCACCAAATTATAGAAAACACGAGAACAAATCAAAGCTCAACTTGTTCAGTGAGTTTCATCAGTTGAAAGGTGAAAAAATGAAGCAACAATACAAAGTCCATGTGCTGATAATCTCTACTGACCTTCATCGCAAAAGACCCTGAAAATTTTGCAGTTTTATCAGTATCTTGTACACAGCTGAGAATTATGCGCAGGTAACCCCATAATATTCGTGGTGGCTCGTGATAACACATCATGTGATCCGAGGTTGCAATCAAAACTTGTGAAACCTACCGATGATATTACACTTATATCGTACTTCATTTTGTGCAAAGACAAGACTAGAATGGAATCCTTTAACATTATGGGTATATTATACAAGAACAAGTTCAGAACAAAGATGAGAGTTCCACTAAATAACAGCAAGACAAGATGCATCATAAAGACAATATTGTGGATGTCCAAACAAGGACAACCATGCCAAATAAAAAAATAAAATAGTAAAATAAAATAAAATTGTGCATTAAACACAATACAGAGCAGATTGTAGACAGAAATGTAGCGACACAATATTCAGATTGTGGAGAAAAGTAATCTATAGGATCATCTTCATTAAGCTACCATCAGAGGAAAACACACAACTTTTTGATGGGAAATCAATGTGAAAAATAGTCCCTAATTTCAATGTTTATCATCACATGGGACATGAGATATTCTAGGAGTTCGAGTTTTTACATAACGTATGATAGTATTAATAAAAAGATTGGTAAAAGAACGTGCATTTAGCGAAAAACCCAAGAACATAGAAAAGGAGGACAATATGCTACTGTTACAGGATTTTCTAAACAAATTCAATGTTGGATAACATCTCTATTAAGGCACATGGATGGTATTTCCTAGTTCAACAGACAAACCTCGCAGTAAATATTACTTAATGTTCACATCATGGTACTTCATTCATATTCTATCATTGCGGTATACACATTAATGACATTTGATGACAGCTTATCTTTATGCACATTATCAACCTAAGGTCACAAATTAAGTGCCTAAGTACCAAAGCATAATAAGGGGTAATACCACAACTAAATTTATAGCCAATAACACTTCTAATTTCTTTTAGTCCAATTATTTACTCCAAATCGAAGAATTCACAAAAGTAAGGTAGTAACCGTTCTCCAAGTTACAGAGAAACAAAATCTAATATGAAGTTTTCTTCTTTTTTGCCTCGTATTTAAGGGTTCAGGTTGCATTAAGGTTTCTTATAGTAAAAGCCAAACAAGATGCATCAACTTCACCATAAGCACTAAAGCTTATCCCATTTTGAGAGGGTGGCAGGGGTCCAGTTGTTTGCTTACTCTTTCTTTTTCACAGGATTAATACTTAATTAGGAAATATTGACTAATTAATTAACCAGCCTTGAAAGTAAGTCTTCTCGCAGCCATCTGGTATGCATGATATAGGAAAGAAGGAGCTGGCAGTACAACCCTGGACAAACCTATTAGTTTCCCAAGAGTAAGCCTTCCAGACACACCATCCTTGGTATGCATTATATTTCCATGATGATCACCATAAGCTTACTCTTTTATAGTCATTGTGATAGGATACTAGCTGGAATTGTAAAGGTTCTGTGAGAATTACAGAAACAGCAATTTATTTGATTGTAATAAGGCAAAGTTACATCAGTAAAAGGAATAACAATTAGCTGTTTGAGAGGGCTAATACTCTCCTCTACCACACTTCTACTCTAAGTTTTGCCTCCTCATTCCTTCCTACTTCCTCTCTATTTATAGCCCTCCTGTAACTACTCTGTACACATCAGGCTGCCCTGTTAACAGAATCCTGTTGCTGCCAAATCGTCCTCAATTCTTCTTGGTTCTTCTAGAATAAGTGTACCCAATTTAGAGTCTTATCAATACCCCCGGGTCCAAAGATACCTTGTCCTCACGGAGGAAATCGGGGAAGTATGGGAGGAATTTCTTGCATCTTTGCAACCATCATTTCTCTTCCACTAACAAGAGATAATCTACTCTGTCTGCAACGTATCTCTAGCTTATTAAGGGCCAAGCACCACAGCTCCTGCATGGAAGCTCCTTTCCCAATTGCTAATGCAGAATCTTGGTTAATATTAACCCCATCAATTGTGCCATTGAAACTGACCTGTCTAGCTCAGGGGCATCGCCACCCATTGAATGGAAAGAAATCACGCCCAACCTACCTAAGCGGA